ATAAACTTGATTTTAACATGGTCTTTGACAACATTATTTTCATACAAAATTCAGTTCTTAACTGCTTTCTTTTTTATAAGTGGCATATTAGCTAAATGTATTTTTAAGTAATTATAAGGATAATGTAGTCATATTTCATAAAATGAACTTTGCAGCCACATTCAGCACTGAGTTGCTGAATCCCTGTCCCAGAAGTCCGTTCTGTCTTGGGACAATGATCACTCTGGCCCTGACTGCTTGGTTGATGGGTTAGAACCAGGTGTATGGATCCATGGGTACCCAGAGAAGTGGAGAGGGCTGACCCATAAATTCTTAGAAGTGGAAATTTTGTCGCAAGACTTTCTTCTCCAGCAATTTTTGTTTCTTTGTATCTTTGTTAATTCATTACATGAAAAACAATGACTTATTCCTATTTGTAATTCTTTTAGTACTAGTGAGGTAGATATTTTCAGATATGTAGCCATTTTCATTTTCTCATGCAGATTATAAATGTGTCTTTAGCAGATGTAAATTTCTTTTTACTGATTCTAGGAAATGAGTAATTTCCTGGATATTTATTCTTTTCATTAAAGTGCAAGGTTTATGTTTGAGAAATGATTTATTTCATCATAATATGGCAGGCATTTCCTAGCGTATTTAAATACTATTGTGTCTGAGTAGGCAAACAGTAAAATTTTTTCATTTTCAGCCTCATTCCTTAGATAACCTCTTGATAGTGGTAAGAAGTAAATACCAAATATAATCATCTGAATTTTAGTTTCATGTTATCCCAGTGTAAAATAGAATCCATCATTGTTTTAGTGCATTTCGAAGGATGTTCTAATGCCAAGGATAAAGTAAATTCTTTCCTTTTCTTTTTACAGGGAATTGATGTTGATGCCGAGAATTGTGCAGTGTGTATTGAAAATTTTAAAGTAAAGGACGTTATCAGAATTCTGCCATGCAAGTATGTTTTTTTTTTTTCTCTTTTCTTTTTTCTTTTTTTTTTAACCTACTGAGACATTAATAATTGCTGGACAAGTTTCAGTATCCTGACAAAAGAGTTCCGTGTCCTTTTTATATGGTATAAAGATCTTGCTATCTTTGATCATCTCATCTTTTGAAAGAGAAGCTTAGGTTTTCTTACTGTCTTCAAGGCTCTTTAAAATTGCTTTGCTTAGGACACCTCCATGACCATTAGACCCAGTGTACATCTTTGTCATAGATGAGCTTCTAGTCTCATAAGCAGGTATTCATTAGAATGCTGGGAATTTTATTATATACTTAGCAAAGTGTGCTATATCAGGAGCAAGAAAATTGAAGCAAAAAGGTGAAGGACCCAAGGGAATGGGCCTAAAACAGCCAGCAGGAAGCAGGTGTGGGGAGGGCAGTGATTTGCTATTTGTATCCTGAGTTCGAGTTCTCTTTGTGGTTGTGAAAAATAAATATTCCTCCCTTTATTTGGGTTACAGTAACTAAGATTTGCTCAAGTTCAGTTTTAGCACCAGGAAGTTGTGATTTCCTTTTTAGGCTACTTTAATTGATAACTTTTAGAAGAATTATTTTATTAGCAGAAGGGTTTATTTTATGTACAGAAATTATATTTTAAGTCAGATAAATTTCAGTTATACTTAACACCTTTTAGAAGCATGTCATAAGTTAATATATTTGTTTGCAAAGCACGTTAGTGTATAATCTACTACTGCAGGGTAGACTAAGTTCTTGATAATTCTGTGAAGGAAATAAAGGAACGAGTATCAGAATATCAAAGTCAAAAGTTTCCTGAATGAAAGTAGGTGTGGGTACCTAATGAATTGGTCTCAGTATAGGTTGATCATGTCCTCTTTAACATTATTAAAGTTACTCTAGGCTGGTTTAGGACATGTTTTCCTTAAGAAATAATGCTCTCTATGCTGCACAGATGAGCCTAGGTGTCTATACTGATGGCTGGGGTGAGGTTTGTACTTGACTGTCAAATGCAGACATGTACATTTCCTGGGCTGCTCATTGAGATTTTGACTTATTTCCCAGTTTTCTCCTGTGATTTATATAACATATTCCCAATAATTTTTTTTTTGTAAAAATTGTTTCCTTGGGTCTGTCAGTTTTTAGTTTGCAGATGGAAAATCAAAAGGCAAGGTGAATTAGACTATGATATAATTAAGAACTGTTACCTTACCTGACCTAGGGGATCTCTATTTGAAGGAAGCTCTTCAAATGATTGTACTAGACATGTGCTGTACCCAGCACTCTTGTACACACATTGTTTGTGCCTCTCAGGGCAGCCTGTGCTGTATATGCAGAGAGGGAGGGCAGGAGCCTCGACCAGGCTGTTGAGTTGCACAGCTGGCTTTTGATCCCCATCTGTTTTATTCCAAAGCCCATATTTGATGCCCTGTCTTCCTCACACATAGAAAATAGACTTATCCATCACATGGGAGGAAATAATGGCGAATCAGTAAAAGAAGAAAATATATATGCCCTTTAAAAATTCTGATAGAAAAATGTAGAATGTTTATAAAAATATTTTTTAAGCCTGCCACCCAAAGATGACTTGTTAATATTTTGATATATTTTCCATTGAATGCTTTTATGGACCCATATAAAATACTATCAATTTAATATTAATTTATTAGTGTTAGCTTACTTAAGCCACATTTATTCCCAAAAGTCTTGCAGGTAATTTTTTTCAAGCACATAGAAATGTACAACATAGCATGGGATGGCCATGCTGTTTTTGTGGAGTGAAGGGAACATTTTACTGGAAGTCCCAAATTCTGTTGTAAGTACAAAGTAGATTAGCTGATAATTTAGGAAAAATGACTACTCTAGAATGTTGATTTGACGTTGGTTAACTTGTACTGAGGGGATGAGTTGATAGAATGTCTTATTTCCTTTATAAGATATATAAACATTTATTTTAAAACATTAACACATACTTAATTTTTTTAGGCATATTTTTCATAGAATATGCATTGACCCATGGCTTTTGGATCACCGAACATGTCCAATGTGTAAACTTGATGTCATCAAAGCCCTGGGATATTGGGTTTGTTACATTTTTGTTTATATTTAATCTCTGCCCCAGTTCTTCCTGAGTGATAGATTTCATTATTGACTAGAGACAAGAGGACCAGACAAGCTCCTTCTTATATCCTTGTGGCTCTTTTTAAGAAGTTTTCCTCTTTGTTAAAAACAAATTCTTAAAGTTAAAAAAAAAATAATTAATTCAATTCATGGTATAATAATAGGCCAGGATGTCCCCCAGAAAATTTCTAATTTTACTTAGACCAATATATCTTGGTATACTACACTGCAAAATGTTTATATGGTAGTCAGTTTCGTATAAACAAGAATCGTAAGGAACCCCACAACTTTTCTGGCTTCAGTGCACATTTTACATAAGAGGAAACTAAAGTCAACACTTCTTCATATGAGTTCTCCTTATCCCTGGATTTCAAAATTAAATAGTGCTGGAGACATCGTTCTGCATTGATTTTGGTCCATTAGTTTGTAATATGTAGATGGTCAGAAATCTTTCTCAGAAGACATGAGGGCAAAATGAAAGAGATTATAACAGCAACCAGCCATGTGCTTGCTGAAGGCCTTAAATACATGATTATATTTACTCCCACAACTATTAGCTTCCCTGTCCTTCTAGTTACAAAATTGTGCTTAGAGAAGCTGAATATCTAAAGTTGTGTAGCTAGTTCATGAGGGATTAGCTTTCAAACACAAGTTTGCTTAATTCTGAGTTCACATTCTTAATTACTATCCAACCCAAACAGAAGGATATAGAGGAAAAAATTATTTTTCTAGATTGTCACATTTTTATTGTTTTTAGAGTCTACATAAAATATATTAATGGCTCAAAATACACTCATAATAAAATTTTTAGGTAGAGATCTTTGAAAAGAATAGTTTGAACATTGATTTTATTTTTCTTGTAGCTAAACATAGTTTTAGAGGTTTTTTGGTAGGGCTTATTATAGAATAGGAACTACAAAGATATAGATTTGTTTTTTAGTGCTGGGGATTGAACCCAGGGCCTTGTGCATGTCTCCTGGGCTGCAGGTCTGCCTGAAACTTCCTCTCATCTAGCTTACAGTATCTTCTGAAGATACTGAAGAGACCGCTCCTTAATAACTGCAAAACGAGTCCCAGAATAACCTCTCTGTAGGTATCCAGGAAGAGGAAAGTCCAGTGATCAAGAACTGCTTTACTAGAACCTCATCCTTTGATGTCCTGAAAATTTGTCTCGCTTCCATGATTTCTACAGTTAACTTATTGTGGTTTTAAAATCATTGTAGCTTTCTTCAGCATGGCATAACATGCTTCCCCAGCGGGCTTAGCTCTTGTCCTCTTTGCTCCAGAAACTAGCTTAGTGAGAAACTGAGCCTTCCTGGTTCAGCATTTTAAATGCTAGAACACAAGGAGTTTGTCAGGTTATTTTCTTGGCTGTCATAGAATTGTCTTTTTAGTTAGGTATACTCTGAAGCTTTTACTAGATCATTCTCTTCATTAGTCAATAATTTTAAACTTGCTGTTCACTTCTGGACATTTGTATGAGGGAATTTCACTGACCTTACTGTAGAGACTTTGATCCTCATGAGTTTTGATTTGGGAAGCATAACTCCATGTATATTTGTATATTAAAAGTCAAACGAGTCTTCATTTTGCATAGAGTTAACCTGCTTTCTTAGAATGTTAATTTCAGAAGGCTAGACTTTTGTCCCCAGGATGCCTAATTTAGTTTTTGAAGGGTAGAAACCTATAGTAACTTTAAGGCTGACAAAAGAATTCACTTGTCTTACTTTTTTTTTAGTCTTTACATGGTTTGCCATTTTCTTTAACCCATCAGCTCCTCTTGCCTTGGATATTTTCGATAGCCATGGTGTGCTTTTTTGTAGTGTCTAATTCTCTGTTTTTTTCATGATCATGTGAAAGTCACCAGTGGCCCCTCACACAGACTTTAAGAACCGTCCTTTGGTTTTTGCACTGTAATACTGTTTGTCAACTGTTTTTATTCATTCAATGAGCACTGATAAAGGAATGCCATTTAGATGTTAAATCTGAACTTGGCTCTAGTGAGGTAAAGATGGATAAGACACAGCCCCTCTGATCAAGGGCTCTTGGGAATTTGACCTTCAGGACTGGTAGGGACCCAGTACACAGGTAGAACATAATAAGAGAACAGTGTTTGAGGTACTGGCCGGAGTATTAAGCAAGGAGAAGTGAGAAGATGGAGGTAGTGCATTTTATTTGGGCCACTGAGCTGGGTGTTAAAGGATTTTAGCAGCACCTCAGTGTACTACTGACTGATGGTGTGTCTCCAGGGTTGACCTATGGGATGGGAGGCCTCCAGGTAGTTAGGTCAGGCAGATTTTAAACAAACAGCTTGTGGTGGGGTTCAGCAGGAGTTTGGCATTGTGGTAACACAGCAGCAACAGGATTTGTTACTTGGTGTGTTGGGAGTCGAGGTGAGAGGGAACGTTCAATGCTGGGTGTCAAAGGTGTTTAGTTACTGGTAAGGGAGGAGGAGATTGTTCTGGACACAGCTGAAACAGGCCAGTGGTGTCCTGAGAGCCCAGAGGACAGAGGTGGAGTGCTCCGTGAGCCACACGATCAAATCAGGCTGTGGTAACTTTCACTTAGTAAGTCACCTTTCAGCAGTGTCATCTATTCACATGCAGCTTGACTCTAGCATTCCAATGTCTGGATATCCCCCCAAATGTCAGAGACTTAATGTCATGATGCCAGGGAGCCTCTGGCCCTCCTTTCATTTTTTATTTAAGTAGCAAATGTAAAAGAGGGGAAGCACAAAGCAAACTACAGCTGAGAGTGCTGAGAGTAAGAGCCAGGACTCCAGGACTAAGTTGTTTTTTTGTTTTATTTTGTTTTAAGAAAACCAGAATATAGTCTGAAGCATTCTGTTGTCCAGAGCCTGTTCACTTTTGCCACGTTCAGTGTTCAAATGTCAGTGACGTGTTAACGTACTGTGAGCAAGAGGACAGTTAAGTACTGATGGAGTTACTTAGAAAAGGCATTTTCTTCTGTTCGGATTTTCAAGGGAGCAGAACCTGAGGATGTTCAGGAGCTGCCCACTCCTGAGTCTACCCCTGGAAGCACTTCGCCTGGGAATGTGAGTGTAGCTTCACAAGAGGAGGGCAGAAACAGTGGCAGTGGCAGCAACCTGCCATCCTCATCCACTAATGAGTCTGGGCCACAGTGCCCTACCACTTTCAAAGAAGATGCAGGGGAAAACACAGCATTACTTGGTAAGTGGCTGGTAGATTTAACTAACTTGTTTGTTTTCCTAACATTTCTTCTTAGATTCTTTAGTGAATGCTAATTATTAGTTTTTTCTTTCTTTTGTTTTGCTGGGAATTGAACCCTGGCCTCTCACAGGCCAGACACATGCTGTACCACCGAGCTATACCCTCCACTCCACAAAAAAATATTTTCTGATATTGCAAGGCAGGGAAATTATTTCTTTATTCTTCTTTTACAAAATTTCTGAGGTATTCTGCATTCTTTAAAGATTAATTCTAAAATAATTTTTCCTAATCAAAATCTCATCTGAATTTTTGTTGGAATTGAATTAACTTGCAGGTTATTGTAAGTAGGAAGAGTTGATGCTTGCCAATTTGAATGTTGCATCCTGGAATAAAAATGCATATTTTTCAAAGCAGTGAAATTCAAATTTAATTTGTTTTTTAACATGTGAGGTAAAGATAGTAGAAACACTAGAATTGAAGTTTTAAACTGATACCAAGAAAAAAAAAGCGCCTTTCGAAAGAAAAAGGAGAATGGATACAGAACCATAAAATTGTCAGGGTTAATCTCTTCACCGTCCAGGGCAGCCTCTTAGGAATGGATCTTATTTTTAGGCATCTCATTGCATTAAGCCAAAGTGCTACCAGTATGAATTTTGCTGTTGCCTTCAGGCTTTATAAAGAAAACTGAATTTGCTTTCTCTGGCACATGGCCAGCCTTGAGAATGTGCAAATGCAGGCTCCAGCCCTTCTGAATGTCCTTCAAAAGTAGTTTCCAGTTTCTTGCCATCTGCCTTGTTGGGTTGCACTTCACCATAGTGTCTTTTCAGGTGCCTACTTAGAAGACAACAAAATTCAAAATAGTGAATAGAAGTAAAGAAAATGAAAAAAGAAACTAGGTTTACAAAACAATAGAATGTCAGGTACATTCTAAAGAAGCTGGATTCCCCTTCCTGAAAACCCCAGCCTCTTTTGGAGGCTCACTTTTTATTTTTTTCTCTTTGTCTTTTCTTTAATCCTAAGTATTGTTCTCTAGTAAATTAACTGGTAACTTGTATAATAATGTTCTTTCTATCCTGTAACAGTCATAGTATAAATTGAGAAATGCTAAATTTTAAAAATCAGTTATTTGAAGTGGACGTTAGTACTTACAGAATGTAATGTCGTTTTGCTTATGGTTAGGAAAATGTTGCTGGGCTGACAGGAGCAGCTAATCAATCAGTGTGGAACTTCGAGTGGAGCACCTCCTGCAAGGGTCCCTGCTGCCTGCTCCTCCCACTGTCCAGTCTATCTACCCCTCTTTTGTAGGGAGCTCAGAGTATTTGGATTTGAGGTGACCCTGGCCAGAGCATAAAAAATTTCTGTTAAAAGGGAGGAATAAGTTCCAAGACATGTTTATACAACATGGTGACTCTAGTTAACAATATATTACATATTTGAAAATTGGTGAAGATAGACTTTAAGTGTTCTTATGACAAGTATGTGAGGTAATACATATATTAATAAGCTTTATTCATCCAATCCATTGTATACATAGTTCAGAACACCATATCATACACCATAAATATATACCGTTTATATTTTCCAATTTAAAAAGTAAATCAATTTTTTTATTAGTTGTTCAAAAACA